TCCCAATGTTTCCATGTTATTGTTTCTGTATTTGATTATTTTACATACACTGGCTAAGAGCTCCAGTGACAGTAGACATTTCTTGTCTGATTCTGGATTGTCCTGGGCAAGAACAAAATTTCTCCACTATGTATAATGTATAAGCTGTAGGATTTTGACAAGTTAATTTTAACAGGCTAAGGAGGGTCCTTTTTACCTACTGGTTTGGTAAGAGTTTTGCTGTTATTGTTAGGTAGTACAATCAGTGAGAAAATTTATCAAACACTGTACCTAGTGAGATAATCACTCTTCCTTTAATCATTTAACATGTTAAATTGTTCTGTTTATGAAGGCAAGCCATCTTTGCATGAATAAAATTAACCTGACTTGCTCCTAATATTTTATGTTTTATTTAAGATAAGTTTCTGAATAACTCATTAGCATTAACACGCTTAGACTTTTTTGTTTTGTTAACATGTGAAGTGAACTTCTAATTTTGGTTTCTAGTTTTGTTTCTACACATATTACAAATGGGAGCATTCTTGTCTGCTTCTGAAACAGTTTGTATAAAAGAGACACTCTTGTTCCTTCAAAGTTTAGTAACATTCATTTGTAAAATGACCTAAGTATTGTTGAAGAGGGAGTATTGATTATTGATTCCATTTCTTCCAGAGTTATTTGTTTACAATTTTCCATTTCAGAGACTGGGGTTCAGCTTAGTGGGAGAGAGTTTGCTTAGCATGCATGAACGTTTGGAAGGGGAGGGGATATGAAGGAGATAGGCAAGGAGGAAGGGAAGGAGGGAAAAAAAGGAAAGAAGGAAGGAAGGAAAGGAGGGAAGGAGGAAGGAAGGAAGGAAGACAGGCTGTCCATTTCTTAAGAGTTGATTTTGAGGTTGGGTGCTGGTGGCTCACACTTGTAATCCCAGCTACTTGGGAAGCTGAGATCAGGAGGATCATGGTTCAAAGCCAGCCTGGGCAAAAAAAAAAAAAAAAATCTACAAGACCCCATCTTAACCAATAGCTGTGGGCAGTAGTACATACCTGTCATCCCAGTGAAGGCAGAAAGCATAAAATAGGAGGAGTGTGGTCCAGGCCAGCCTATTCCAAATTAACCAGAGCAAAAAGGGGTAGAGGTGTGGCTCAAGGGTAGTGCCTCTGCCTAGCAAGCAAGAAGCCCTGAGTTCAAACCCCAATAGAGTCAAAAAAATCCCCCAAACAACAACAAAAAGATTGATTTTGCTTTTACAATTTTGGAATATATTATCCATTTCCCATTTCTGCATTTATTGTGCATTATTTTCTTGTGGTTTTTCAACTTTCTAACATATTCCTCAGGTAGTTTTCTTACATGCCTTTCTCTTCCACATCTGCGCCAGAGTTTGCAATTACGGTCTTTTTTTTTTTAACAAAAGACTGGCTTAGGTTTTGTTCTTGTCTATTGGTAATCTACTTTCATAATTTCACACTTTAAGTTTTGAAATTACTTCTGCCTCGCTTACAGTTAATCAATTTTCTTTTTTTTCTAATGTCAGTTTTTCTTCTTTTTGAAGCTTAGAAATTTAGTTCTGTACTACATACTTCATTTCCATTAAATAAGAAATATTCCCACTGTTTCTCACTTTAACACATGAATGGAATAAGGTGCTGTATTTTTAAATGTCTACAAATGTGTTTACATGTTTCAAATATTTTCTTGTGTGTTAATGGGTGATTCAATCATACTAGGTCAAAGAAGGTGGCTTGCGTGAAAAAGGCTGCTTAAAGTTTAGACAAACTTCCCATATATGGTCAACTTTTTAAAAAAACTACCCAGGTTTAGACAAGAATCTAGAATCTTCATGACTGGGTGTGGGGCTCTGGGTGTATTCTACAACAGAGCCTGTTAATACTGCTAGGAATGTCTTGATATTAACCCTACTATCTTGTTCTGTATTTTCTGTTTGAATGTCCTTTTTTCTTCTTCTTTCTCTACTTGTTCCATTTTTTAAAAAAATTCCCTTATATTTTCTTCTGCTAGTTAGAAAATATAAATGATACATATATATTCTTTTAGTTGCATTTAACTTTTTAAAATATATATTTAAGTATGGCTTTTCCCTGATGTGATCTCAAGTTATTCCACATTTTACTTCTCCTAACTGAAGCCCTTTTGGAGTTTAACCACTTACCAGGTAATCCCCCCTCCCAATATATGATAATGTGAAATTTCAGTTTAGTTTTATTTAAACAATTTGTCTAGAATTACAGTCACAACATGGTGCGGACTTCTCTGCACTTCAGTGTTCCTAGAATCCCTCAGAATTGACATACTTCCTTCTGAAGTGCTACTTTTTATCTTATTGATTTTCTGGTGCTGGGGTCAGACCCAGGGCCTTACGCATGTTAGGCAAGCATTCTACCCATTGAATCACACTTCTTTTAATCACCTTTTTAATGAAACTTGTCCATGTTTTCTCAGCCTGTTTAAAAAAAGCTTCACTCTGCCTTTACTAGGTATAAAATTCTAGATGAACAGTTATCTTATCCTCAGTTCTTTGAAATTAAATCATAATATCTCTCATTTATTGAGCCCAAGTTGGTATGCATCTCATGGTGTGGTAGGAAGTCTGTTCACTTAAGATTTCTGGCTTCCACGTTTTGTGCATGAGTTCAGTGTTTTCAGATATGGACTAATCTTCAGTTTTTCTCTTGTAAGTTCTGTGACTACAGTTTGGGTACCATGTCTTTCTTTGGTGCTGGCCAACTTTTAGCTTCTGAGTTTTCCCTTCCCCAGCATCCTCTGAAGGTTGGGACCCTCTATGCCTAGCTATACCCACGTCTATCTCTATCCCAGCACTGTAGCCAAGTGACTCCTTAGAGTGGGTTCCAGCTCTTGAACCACATTATACAGAATCTAAAATTTTAAAAAATATCAATAACTGAATATTTTAAGAGAATGTTTTTCATACCCTGCTACTCTTGCTTTGTTCCTTCCTATTGTGTTTCATAGTTTCTTGCCCTGCTTTGCAGACATGATCCTTTCATTCACCTGAACATTATAAACACATCTATTTCAAATCCTTTGTCAGACTTCTTTTATTCCATATGGTCTAAACTGGTCATCTGCGGAGTTGTTTGCTGTATATCCTGGCATGGGGTTGCTTCATGTGTTTTGCAATGTTGGTTTTCAGACTCACTGGAGTGGGCTATTTGTTTTTCCCACCACCCTCCCTTCCTACTCCTCCCTGTGGAGTGGTCAAGTTGAGCTGGGCTGTCTGCGGCCACTGCCTCAAAGAAACCTAGGAAGATACAGCCTTAGTCATCACCATGATGCTGTTCCTCTTAGCTCTGGCTATAAGGCTGTGCCTCGCTGCCTGGCTCCATTCTTACATGCACTGCCGTACAGCCCTGGCAAGAAAGAGCAAGGAAACCCCACAAGGTCCCTGCAGGAAGCAATGGGCCCAGCTTTGTTCATGTTTCCCTATCAGTGACAGAGGGAAAGGACCTGTGCACTTGCCACCAGTGGCTGTATTTGAACTTGTAGTCAGCAGGTTAGGCACTGCTTGATGCCCTGTGGAAATGCTGTTCTAAGCCAGTCTGAGGCTTTCCTGTTTCATATGCTATGTGTGGGGAAGGACTAAAGGGTAGACAATGTCACAAATATGCTTAAAGGTAAGAGCTCTGTGTTTTTAAGCAGGAGTTGAATTTAATATGGAGACATGGTCCTTTGTTCTTTTAAACACTGTTTCGGGTACTGGGACACATGGGAGGTCAAGCTTTGACTCCTGCAATGCCAGCAGTGAGAATCAGCTCTGTTCTACAGAAGCCTACTCCATGCCTGACCTACAAATCCCTCTTCACATTACTACCTGGAAAGGTCTGATATCTGTGAGACATTTAAAAGAAGGAAGTAAAGAAGGCTGACATGCTTTCTATACAAGAATGAATACAGAATTTTTAAACCTGTTGAAATCACCATCAGAAGGGGACTAAGGTAGAAAGGAGAAAAATAGAGGGGGTGAACCAATTCAGATTACAATACATATATACATGGAAATGTCACAAGGAAACTCCCTGTGTAGCTATCTTAAACAAACCAAAATGCCTTTTTTCAAAAACAGAGGATAGAAAGATAAAACCGGTCCTGTTTTGGGGGTTGGTACCAGTGGGAAGGTGGAGGATATAAGGAAAGGGTATAGAAGGGTGACTATGGTGGAATATTATGTACTCACGTATGAAAATGGAAAAATGAGACCTGTTGAAACTATTCCAGAAATGGGGGGAGGAGGGATAAAGGAGAATGATGGAGGTGGTGAATTCAACTATGATATATTTTAAGAACTTTGGTTAATGTCACAATGTATTCCAGTACAACAATAATTTTTTAGAAAGGGAAGAAAAAAATAGAGAAAACTGAACACTAAAAAAAAGCAGAGGGGGGAGGGGAATTGAATTCCTAACCTCTATACCATGAAAAAAATAAAACAACCCTACAACTCACACACAGTGTCTAACATTTGGCTTGCTGAAGTCTGTTCATTGAAATAAAGTACAAAAAACTGCCTATTTTATATTTTATCTTTCTTAAGGGAAAATGAAAATCCAGTGTTAGAATCTTACTCTCTTAGTAGCAAGAACAACTTTTTAGAATGCACAGTTGATCCTGGGTATACCCAGGTTCTGCACCCATGGACTAAACCAAATCTGAATTTAAAATCTTTGAAAAAAAATTGCATCTATAGTAAATAGGTACAGCCTTTTTCTCATTATTATTCCCTAAACAATAGTGTGACAACTATTCACAGAGCATTTAACATTGTATTTAGGTAAAAGTCATCTAACAATTGATTTAAAGTATGTAGAAGAATGTCCACAGGTTCTATGCAAACACAACATTTTATATAAAAGACTCAAATGTCCTTGGATTTGATATCTGTGGGGGATCGTGGAACCCCTATGAGATCCATGGATGCTTCCATGGATGCCATGAAAGGACTATAAAGTCCTTGTGGCAAAACTGTAGTCTTGCTCATTCCTTACCTGGATGGCTTGCTAGTCGGTTAGACTGTGCTGGGAATCCAGACCCTGACAGGTCTTGTGGATGGGGAGGTACCTTGTCCACTTTGTCCTAAAAGGAAGACAATGGGGTCAAAAGAGGTAATGCACACTTTTCAATGTTCATCATCCCCAGGATCCTTTCTTCCTCCATTCCTTACTTCCTTTCCTTTTATTGGCTTTATTGGTTTTAAGTGACAGTTTAAAATATTCTGTAAAAAGAAAACTGATAATGGAAAGCTGCAACCTGTTGGCAAGGGAGTTAGAAGAAAAGTTACCCGCGTTTTCTTGGCTTAAATACTTTTCTTCTGAACAGCAATTCAAAAAGGATTGTCAGCTGCTCAGTGTAAGCAATAGATGTCAATAATTAACGTTCCACTGAGCACCTGCACATTCTGTAACATCCACAGGTGATCAGCCTTGGCCTTCTGCTACCTGAGACAGATACCCAGAGTGTGTTCCATAAGTGGTTCCCATCACAAAGATGAGGAGCTTGGGGGCATGTTGTAGACATGAGTGAGGACAAAAATTTTAGCCAAGAATTAATTCCTTTCATTAAAAAATTAAAAATTAAACAATATCAAGACCTCAAGATCACAATTCTAGAAAAACATCTTTATAGAACAATTAAGAAAGACATATTAAAATTGGGGTAAATGTGCCTTTTACAAAAAAGAACAATGTCAACTCATGGTGAGGAATGTCAAATCCCTCTTACAGATTAATGAAATCGGTACAAGTTTTATAACACACATGTATTCCCTCTGCACTCAGAAAAAGGTTCTGAACTGTGCCAAATGTAGAAAAGGCACATTACAATCTACTAGTACTATATATATTGTCATGAACACAGTACAGATGTGCCTTGACTTATCATGGGGTCTCATCTCAATCAACACATCATAATGGAAAATACCATATGTGGAGATGCACTGGATACCTACCAGCCATCATACCTGGGACACAAACCCTGTAGCACATTGGTTCCTTCCTTGTGATCATAATCATGGGGCTGAGTGTGGGATGTCACTGCTCAGTGTCACAGGACAGCGCCATATTGCACAGCAGTAGGTCAAATTCAAAAGTGAAAATACTATTTCTAGTGAATGCATGTCACCTTTGCACTATTGTCCATTAAAAAACTCATTAAGTTCAAACATCCCAAATTGGGAGCTAAATGTCTACAGCTGCCACAAGCACACTCATCATTGTACATCCCTCCCGGCACTGCAAGCTGCAGCATGTGACTCTATTAGTGTCAAGAACCACTTTTTAGAAAACACAGTTGGCCTTCCAAACCTCTGCATCCCACATTTATGAATTCAACCAACCGTGATATACTTATATATGTGTGTATATATATACATATATATCATATATATGTGTATATGTGTGTGTATATATACAAATATGTATATATATACATATATATGTATATACACATATGTATATATACACACATATATATATGGGATTAGGGTTTGATTCAGGGCTTTGAACTCGCAAAGCAGGTACTCCAGCACTTGAGTCACTCCTCCAGTCTATTTTGCTCTGATTCTTTTGGAGATGGAATCTTGAGAACTATTTGCTTGGGGCTGACCTAGAACCTTGATCCTCTCAATCTCAGCCACCCACATAGCTAGGATTATAGTATGAGACACTGGCACCAGGCTTCAAAAATAATTTTTTAAAAATTATATCTGTACTTGCACCTCCAGGACTGTGAGCCAAAATAAGAGTCTTTTCTTTATGATTTACCCAGTCTGTGATATTTTGTTCTTAGCAAACCAAAAACAGACAAAGACAAATGCTGTTGACTCTCCTCAGGAACTGACTTCACTCAAGTAACAGGTGTTCCTTGAGTAATACCACCAACATGAATGTGCTGAGTGACAACCATCAGGGAGAAATTGCATTATGCTAGTTCAATTTTCTTAAACATCTGCCAGTTGCTTTAGAGTATCTTTCTTTACCTGCAATGTTTGTATGTACATACACGTCCTGGTTGAACAGGACCCCAAGTCATGACTGAAGCAGACTTCCGCTGCCCTACTAGATTCACTGAGCAAATCTCAGCAGCAAGCCCCAGGCTGGGGGTGTAGCTCAGTGGTAGAGCACTTGCCAAGCATCCACAAAGCCCTGGGTTCCATCCCCAGCACCACAAGGGGGTGGAGGGAGACACAAAAAGAGTAATCTTGGCCTGCTTGTGTGCTATTAGGACGATGGGCAGCCTTGCTGGTTGCACAGCCCTCATCCTTCACACCCAATTGCCTAATAAGCCCAGGAAACTCAAAAAGGCACACTGATTTCACCAAGGCATCAGAGTGGTGATGGAAGTGATGTTCCAGAGGGGCTGGAAGTGATGTTCGGCTCAAAGCCTTCTTGCTCACAGGTGAAATAGAATCAATGCTAACTTTTCTCAGCCTTGTCACCGACCTGCGAGTGAACAGCTAAGGTCTGGTCCATGATGGACTTTGGGGCTGCTCACAACATGGGAGGCAGAGCAGCAATGCAGGGAAGACACATAAAGGCCAGCTTCCCCACACTGACACCTCCAAGAAAGGCAAAGTCACATTCACACCTTCCTCCAGAAAACCTGGAGAAAATAAAACACTGCCACCCCCCTCCCCTTTTTTTTTTCAATAGACATAGCTCTGTTCTCTCTCTCTCTCTCTCTCTCTCTCTCTCTCTCTCTCTCTCTCTCTCTAGCAGTGCTGGGGTTTGAACTCAGGGTCTTGTGCTTACTAGTGAAGTGCTCTACCACTTAAGCCATGTCCCCAGCCCCATGTTTTTCTATGATAGAGTGAATACTTATTATGAAAATCTGGATGTGTTAAAGAAAAATATGAAGAAAAATATTAAAACAAAGCTCTTCTTACTCTCACACCCAAGAGGTCATACAACCAGTTACCTATATGCTCTTCTAGGAAAACAAATGTCTGTATTAATTATAGAGAGCATATATGCTATCATCTGAATCACAGGAGGTCACAAATGAGTTAACTTTCTAAAAAGGAAGTACAATCATTTTCCTTATATTATTGTTTCAATATGGGTCTTCGAAATTTGCCATGTCAACAAAGGCACTCTCCATTGGCAGAATTCTTTCATAGCTCTTGTAAACCCCTGAGTGGATTTCTAGTGTAATTTATTTAGCCAACACCCTACTGCTGAACACACAGATTGCTGGGAATGTTTAAGTGCTATAGTTTGGCCCATGTGTTAAAGGCTTGGTCCCAAGCCCACATCTACTGGGAAGGGATGAAATCTTTAGGAGGTAGGACCTAGTGGAAGGAAATTAGGTCACTGGGGGTGTGCCTTTGGGAGGGAGATATTGGGACCCTGACCCCTCCTGTCATTCTGTTTCTCAGCCACCATGAGGTGTACTGACCTCCTATACCATGTGCTTCTGCCATGAGATACTGTGCCACCACAAGCCCAAAGCAACAGGGCCAAGGGACTATGGACTAAAACCTCTGAAATCATGAGCCAGAGAAAACCTTTTCCCCTTACTACCTTGATTGTCTTGGGTATTTTGTTACACTAATCGAAAGGGGAGTAAGACAGTTAAGTTTTTGATTAGGAAAGAGAAAAGGGAATTGTTTAGAGGACACAATGTCCAAGAGGCAAGTGGAGTGCCAACCAGAACCTTTGCGAGGTGCTGAGGAAGCAGCGACTGTGACTGGTACTCATTCTGGAATTTATTCCAGCGGTAAGCAGTAGCCCCACTCAGCAGTGTTAATACACAGATGCATTAACACTAAGGTTCAGCACTTTCTCATGAGCTCAATAGTATTTTTTCTTTTGGTTGATTCTTAGACCTGCCAGCTAGACTAGTTCCTGAATGCAAAAGGTCTTGGTCCAAAAATGTCTGAGAATGAATCACAGCCCAGCCACTCAGTCGTTGAGGCTAGGGCTGGTTCCTGGAACTTGTGAGCTACTGCCTGGTGGGTAAAATGGGCTGGAGAGCCTCTTAGTGCCTTCTGGGAGGCCTTGTTGGTAATGCTGAGCCTGTATGCAAGTCTTGGGGACACTGTATCTTTATTTTCCTATGATGAGCTTTTAGGTGGTGGCAAGTGGAATTTAGTCCTACTTGTAGCAAATGTTTTACCACTTTGTTTGACTTTAGATGTTATTCTATTTTTGATTCTTAGAAGTTCCATTCAATGTAGTCAAGTTGATTGATCTTATGTTATTTATTTTCACCTTGAAATTCATTTTCAACCCCTCTCAAGAAAACTGGAAAGCATTCACTGGATTTTATTCTAATTTCTTTTTCCGACTTGATGTGCTATGCTTTTATCTATCTGACATTTATTGTGGTGGTGGTAGTATAAGAGGAGATGTTACACTGATGGTCCCACCAGGGTAGATCAGTTCAGCTTTTGTTACTACAACAAAGACTTGAGGTAATAAACCTTGAATGAAAAAAGGTGTATTTCGAGTCACAGTTTTGGAGTTTCCAGTTCATCACTGGCTGGGCCCCTTTGCTTTTGGACCTCTGATAGGATGCCAGTTGGTAATGGTGGGAGGGCATGCTGGAACAAACCTGCTTATGTCATGCTTAGGACTCAGAAGAAGTTGAGAAGGGAACCAAAGCCATACAATTTCATTCAAGGGCACACGCTTAAAGATGCAGATACCTCCCACTAGGTCCTACCTCTGAAAGGTTCTACCACCTCACAATATTGCCATTCTGGGACCATGCCTTTAGCATGTGGGACATCTAAAATGCAAACTATAGTACCACTTACCACCTACCCCTTCCTTTTGCCCAGTGGTCACTCTGTGCACGCATCATAATCCTACACATACCTGCACCTATGTCTCAGCAACCTGTTCATCAACTGTACACATCTGTCTGCTCCTGTATGGGTACCCCACCTTTCTCATCATGCAGACTGCCCAACGTATTTTACCATCAGCAGAATATTTCCCTTCTTGCTTCTTTTACTTGAGCTCCTTAGTCATTACTTTCTTTCAAGCAAATTTCAGAGCAAAGAAGACTTATCGCAGGTTTAGAATACAGCCATGCACCACACAGCCATAGTTCAGTCAATGACAGACAGCATA